AAAATGCCAATGTGCCACTAACTGCATGGCTAATTCTAGCCATTCTTTTCTTTTGACAGCCAAAAGGAGATATCCCGAGTACGGTAGCTTGGATTTGAGAAAAGAGTGCCAAAGGAGCAAAGGGGTGTGCAGAGCACTCTGTCTGCAGAATGAAATTAGGGTTACGTTCTGCATAAGGCCAGGAAGCCAGTGTTGCATGAGCAGCTCAGGTTGACAGAAGACAAGAGAGCCAGGGTCCAAGAAGAGGAGGCCGCCGTTCCAAGCCTTTCTGGCCTATCTTCCAAGCCTGCGTGCCTCTATGAAACACAAAATATTAAATAAAATTCCATACTAAACTATTCACAAGTGTTTCTCTTTTGCACACATGTCTGTGGTTTTTTTTTACTTGATTTCTTGCTAACAAAAGCAAGAAGAACTTGTTTATGGGAGCTACTCAGTAAATACAGTTCTCTGTGCCTTGTGATAGGTGACATAGGTAATATTGGAAGCAAGTAGAAAAGGGATAAGAATCTGCTGTTATTTTACTGTATTTACGCCTTTCAAAATACATAAATCCACTGAGCTTGGGTGACCAGACATGAGAGTTCATGTAGGTCTTATGAGAGACAGGGTTGAAGGGAAGGAGGAACCAGAACACAAGAATGAAACAGCTGAGTTAACACTACAACCCCTGATTTCTACTCTTACTGCTACTTAGTAGGAGAAAACTGTATATCAGGTAATGGGGAGGAGAAACTTTCAGAAAGTAGAAGAAATTGGGTAGATTTAAACATTTTGATTGAAGAAGTGAGAAAGTATAAAAAAATAGTTCAACTCAGACCTTCAGTTCTAGGAAATAATTTGGTCTAAAGAGATCCTGAATAAGATGAAGGAGCAACAATCTTTCTTTTTCAGCTACTTTCTGCCTCGGTTTCTCTCCTACTGTATTCCTGATCAGATGTCCAAGAATTCATCTCTACCATGTAGTATCTGCCAAAAACATGTAATTCTGTTTGTTTGCTGAGTTCAAGGACACAATTTAGCAATTTGTATTGATTCTAAGTTCTTAAGTAACATCACCAATACCGCAAGACAATGACGCAACATGCCCTCACCCTGTCAAATAAAATAAAATAATATTTTGGCAAATTATTTATTAAAAATGAAAATTTATTACATGTATACATGTGAACTACACTTGGACTCAGAAAAAGATAAGTGACAAAATTCTTGACATTTGTGTTGTTTTCTAATGCAGATGTGAGATCTACGTTCACACTATAATTATCTACAATATTGACATGCATAGGGAATAAATTTTCTCTAAATAGATATAATTGTGAGGTTATACATAATGAGCACACCGACGTTATTAAAAGGCTAGTCATTTTATAGTATTTTATTTTAATGAACACACATTCCATTATGACAAACATTATTGCTAAGTGTTATTCACATTGTATTTTTTAGAACCTTATGGTTACTCAATATATTCCCTTGCTACTTTAAAAGCATTTGTACAATATTTATTTATAACAAGATTTGTCAAATATGGCATGATAAGTTATTTTGGTCTAGACAATTGTGTTGCAAGAACGATACTGTTCACTTTATATAATGTAATCAAAATATATGATGGCTGATTAAATTTTTAAACTTTACTCTAGTGACAGATACATTACTATCAATTTCCTTTAAAACATTCCCATCACTCAAACACACATATTCCATCATTTTTGACACTTTGGGAGGCAGCTCTGGAAGTTATTTTTGTGTCTTTATGACATGTAGTAAAAAACAAAAAAAATACACCCAATGTTTCTCCCAAATACCATCTAACTGAAATGTAGGCTCATAAAAATATCACGCTGTGACCCCATCTACCTAGTCAATGGATCAGGTACCATGAAACTTCTGGCTTTGCTCATGGTTCGAAAACAAGAGGTAAACATTTTGAAACTGTTGAAGTCATCAAGGTAACCATGACATACAAGTAGAAACATGGAGAGACTATCAGGAATCATGCTGTAACGTTTCATAACATTTCATCTTATGGCAGATTGCTTCTGCGCTAGTGTTTAGATATTTGTTTCATTTTGAATCTAATTTAGTGAAGGGTCAGAGATATGGGTCTAGGTTCTGTACTTAGCATGTGGATAGCCAGCTTTCCAGCCCCATTTGACAAAAGGCTGTCTTCCCTCTCGCAAAGGGATTTGGTCCCTGTGTAAAATAACCGGGCTGAGTGCACCTGAGGCTGTCTGTATCTTCTATCCTGTTCTACTGATCTACAAGCATTGGGGGGTTTCTGTTTGTTTATTTGTTTGTGTTTTCTTGTTTATTTTTTGCCAATACCATGCTGCTTTTATCCCAGTAGCTTTGTAGTATAACTTGAGCCAGGGATGGTGCTGCCATGGACTTGCTCTTCTTGCCCAGAATTGCTTTTATTATTCCAGGTCTGTTTTGGTTCTATATGAATTTTAGATTTGTTTTCTCTAATAATGTAAAGAATTTTACTGGTATTTTAAATAGAATTATATTAAATCTATATAACTGTTGTGGAAGTGTGTGGGGTTTTTTACTATATTAATTTTGCCTATCCAAGAATAGGAGATATCTTTCTATTTTCTAACATCTTTTTCCATTTTCTTTTTCAAAGTACTATAGTTTTTTGCTGAGAAGTTTTTCACTTCATTAATTAAGTTAATTTCTAAATGTTTTATTTGTCTTGGTGCTTTGAGAAAGGTATTGTTTCTCAAATGTTCCCCTTGGACTGGAGACATAGCTCAGTGGCACAGAGCCTAACTGGCAAGTGCAAGGTCCTGAGTTCAATTCCCAATACAAAAAAAAAAAAAAAAGCAACAACTCAAATTTCCCTCCTGGTGAGTTTTTTATTGGTATACAGAATGCTCTTGCTATTAGAATGTTGACTTTGAATCCTCCTACGATATTATATTTGGATATTAGTTCTAGGAGTTCTTTGTTGGTGTTTTGGGGGTCTTCTATATATAGGATCATGTCATCAGCATATAATTATAATTTAACTTCTTCCTTCCTTATTCATATCCCATTTGTTTTTATCTCTTGTCTTATTGCTGTAGATAATATCTCAAAACCTATGGTGGAGGTTAAGATTTTCTGCACAAAACTCCAATCACATAGGAAATAATACTCAGTACCAAAAAATGGGATAAAGTCAAATTAAAAAGCTTCTGAAGAGCAAAGCAAACAACAACAGTGTGAATATGCCATTTACAGAATGCAAAAAAAAAAATCCCACTACTCATCAGGTGAAGGAATAATATCTAGAATGCATTATATAAGGAACTCACAGAATTAGAACCCCAATTTCAAAGACAATATTAAAAAATGGACATCTTAACTGAATAAACATTTCTCAAATGAATAAATACAAAAGCCAATGAATAAATGAAAAAAAGTTCAACATCTGTGGACATTCAAAAAAGTAAATTAAAATGATAGTGAGACTCTATCTCACTTCAAAAATAATGGCTATGATAAAGAAATCAACCAATAGCAAATTCAAGGGAAGAAGAGAACCCTTCTCCACTGTTGGTGGGACTCTAAACTGATGCAACCACTATGGAAATCAGTATGGAGATCCTTCATAAAACTGAAAATAGAAATTACCAAGCAATTCCCTTTCTAATTATCTCCCCAAAAGAGTTAGAGTTATACCACTTTGACCAATGTATATCACGTTTACAGTGGCACAATTGATAATAACTAAATCTTGGAAACAGCCTATAGGTCCATCAGCAGATGACTGGATAGAGATGTCCCATTCGTGCACCATGGAGTACTACTCTGCCAGAAGGGATGGTAAGAGTCATTCACTGTGAAATGGATGCAGTTGGGACCATGTCAAGTGAAATGACCCAGATACACAAGCTTAAATATCACAAGGTTTTTGTACGAAAAATTCAACCTATATCAAATGTAAGACTAATAATAGTAAAAAAGACAGAGCAAAAATGGTACTATGATCCACAGTAGGCAATATATCTAAAAGTATACTCTGGTTATACAATTTTCTTACGTGTTTCACATGTTCTTTGACCTGCTTGTCTGGTTTTCAACTTCTATATGTGATAATTAACTTTATAAATCCTTATAGATTTACTAAACTGATGCTTGAGAAATAGCAAAGAGTCGAAGAAAGGGGAGAAACAACTGAGATATGGTATGCATGTGCACCAGCTCCTACAGTGAAGGTAATTATGCACTGAACACACGTACCAAGAAAAGTGGAACAATGGCCAAGAGTGGCTGATGGAGCATGTGGGGCTAAAGTGAATGTAAGCACTATGATGATTACTGGCAGTGTATTTTTGTTTCAATATTTCTAAAACTTAAACATTCATTGTATTTAAATTCACATCTAGTATGTCTTATGCCAGCTTCTTTTGTATTTTAAAGACATAATGACATTTTAATGAAATCCATAAAGGCTGGGGAGATAGCTTAGTGCCTCAAGCACCTCCCTGGCAAGCACGAGGTTCTGAGTTCTATTGCTGTATGAAAAATAAATAAGTCTTTAAGGAAAAAAAACTCCTATGAACAAATGTTTGCCTACACTGAGTGTAGTCCAAATCAGAAATTTGGGGATGTCAGAGTATCTTACTTCTCATTGTCTTAGTTGATTCATAAGGAGCTGAAACATTAAACAGGGGATAACTTTGTAAATGAATACTGTAAAACAATGAAATCTATTTCTCTATGTATATTGAAGGAACTTTAATTTCCAAAATAAATGACTCAGGATTTGTACGAGCACTGTACTTCAATAAAGACTGGGAGGAGAAAAATCAGAAGAAATAACAGGTATCATATATTTTTATTTTGACCATGTATAAAAATATTTATGTTATTTTATTCACTCATTAACTGTCACATAGATGGGTGGAAAAGAGATTAGTGTCCAGTAGAATACAGGAAAACTTCAATGAAGAGTAAGATCCGGGAAGGAGGACAAACATTGGACAAGTGACACTGAAAAGGCAGGTTGTTGAAAGAGTTGATAAAATATTAAAACTACAAATTGTTAAAAGCTATAAACACTATTTTAATAGAAGCACAAGAGAATAAGGTCTTCCTTTCATAGACAGAGAAAAAGTAAGCCAGATGTTGGAATTGCAGAAGCCAGGTGAAAATATGGAGGCGAAGTTCAAGATGAGGCTACACATATTGCATGAGCAAAATGTAGGTTGGATACTC